CACACATGACACACCTGCTACATAGGCAATTTGTAACTGGCACTGGTTTTCCAACTGAAAAATTGTCATGAGTGTTAACTATTGGTAATTTCCCTTCGTATAGTACTTTTCTTTTTCTTTTTCTTTTTTTTTTTTTTTTTCTTCTTCTAGTACCTGCTCTCTACATAGTTCAGCCGTATTATTAGTGATACTAATTCAAAGGAAAAGCAGTTCCATGAAGAGAACTTTCCCCTCTGTGCAAATGTTCTCATTATATACAGACTGTATTTCATCCCCATTTCAAATTCCCTTTCTAAACTAATACATTTTTCCTTCCTGGCAGGACAGTGCAGAAGATTTCCCAAGAAGTACTGAGAGCATGGCAGGACCACTGTGTGCAGATTGGGCCTTTATAGTGCATTATATACTTTGTCCAGACTAGAAGAATCATAATTCACCAGACATACATACACCCTCTGTTTCCTTCATATTCCTGCTATGTCAATACCCTTGTGGTCTATGTACTTTACACTTACAAATCTTTGTGTTACTTCTGCTATATCTATAGGGCTAGAGTTTTTTTGATAGTTGAAGTCAATTGTGTGTGCCATAATTTCCTAACTGTTATTATTGTTGCTAAATTTACATTAAAACTATAATTGCCTGGCCTAAGATGTGGAAGCATTACAAAAACACTGGACAAGATGAAAGGTTCTGTTGCCATCAAATATACCAGCCATTGGCTAATTGAGATCTCCTTAAGCCTCCTTCAGAAAGATTTCTTCAAAACAAAACAAACTGACAGGAAGCTGTTTATAAGATGTTGGTAAATGCTGTGTGGGTCCATTTCTTCTAAAGAAGACAAAATGTGAGTTGGGATTTGGAATAGATTCTGACCTACATGAAGTACACAGCAGTAACATAGGCCTGGGTAATGTAGACTTTGTCATGGTCTAAATTATGAGAAGGAATAAACCACAACTGTTTGTTTATTTCTGGACTTCTATTGCTGTCAAAAATAAGTACTTAAGAAGCAAGATCTAGTTCAATAGCTGAATGAACAGTATAAATCTGGTTAACATGGTTTCATGACATAGTTTCAGTGTTGACACTGTGGTCAGCAGGGAGGTGGGACTGTAAGTAGCTCACGGCAGTGCGTGGTACACCTGGCACGCACACATCTGTCCATCGATCTGGTTTAAAGCTGGGGTAGCACCTCATTGCTGCTGCTATAATGAAATGCTGGGGAAATGCCTTGTTAAAGTGTAACTTAACATTATTAAAACCTAAACAGTAATTACAAGGCCTCACAAATGAAAAAGAAAACAAGAGGCTTATTACCATTTTGTAACACAGCTCTTTCTTGACCACAATGACCTGTCATGTACCTAGGCTTTGATGAGTAAAATAATCTGTTTGTGACCTTTCAAAGCTAGAATGAAAGGAATGAGTAAAAATGAAAGGGGAAAAAGAAATAAAGAGGAAAACAAAAAAGGGGAGTGTCAAGACAATGTTTATCTGTGTTCTGTATCTGTATTTATCTATGTCAGTAACAACAAATGACACATGTGGGTAAACAAGTAAACGGAAGAAGAGTCATTGCAAGTGGGGAAAGAATTGGCCCGCACTAGCATTTTATTCCTATTGGAAAAAGTTAAGAAGAACAAGCAATACTTTTTTTCGTTCCAACAATTTCAAATTGTGTGAGAGGGTCAAGGAGAAGGAGGAGTGAATGAGCACATTCTGCATGTGTGGGAATAGAGAGAAACACCTTGCTACTTGTATTCCCACCACCTACCCAGGTCAGGAATTCAAATGCACACAGGATTGAGACACATGAAGGAACCACATCAGTCAGAGTAGGAAATGCATCAGAGAAACATGTCTGTCCTATTTCTCTCACAGGCATGCAATTACAGTCAGACTGAGAAGGTGCAGGCAGTTAGTTCAGAGTCCATATTCATGCTGACGATAAGGAGAAATATTTGTCTCTCATCAGACTTTGGAAGAGTGCTGAGCTGTAGTGATACATGGCTGTCAGCTCCGTGTGTGTTTCAGCAGGGCACAGAGTCTGACTTCTGGCACCAAGAGTTGACATCTGTTTCCAGTGGTTCCAGGCACAACCTCCTGGTTTCCAGTAGGGTCCTAATTACACAATGTTTGTGCTAAGTTCCTCCACATGGTCAAAGGCAACAAACAAGAAGTTACAGCTACCATTCAAATGGATGAAGATTGTCCATTGGCTGAATTGTGGAGATGATCCTTGGAAACTCTCTTCTATCAATATTTGCTCTGTTTCCTCCTTTCTTTTGGTTGGTTCTAATTTTTAACAGGTCTGCTTAATGTTTAACTATGGAAATTAAGCAGAAGATGATGTAGCAGCGTAAGTAAAAATGTGGAGAAGAGCATGGTCAGTCAAATGCAGCAGGACTTCTGAGCCTGTAAGTACTGGACACGCAGTCTTCTCAGAGGCTTGCACCTTATCCTTTCTGTACTCAGTGGAATTTTCATGTTAGGTTTATTACATTTGTCTGCTTGTGACTTGATTGTGTGTGGATGGTGCTTTATCAAGCAAAAATGCAAAGGACCAGTGAGACCTGCTTGAAGTTAGAATAAAATAACCCTTGGAGTCACGGGGACCTATTAAGTAATTGATAAACCTGAATGCTGCTGAAATCACCTTTTAGGTTGGAAAGAGTCTTCACTGTGACTTGAAATTAGCATAAACCCACTAGCAACTGAACAACCAGTTTTAATTTATAAACTCTTCCAGTGATTTTATCTATAAAATAACCACTGAATTGTTAAATCCAGGCTCTCTAATTAGGACTGGGGTCATTGTAGGGGGTAGGTGGAAGACCACAGTTTAAATTTAATTACCCCTTTTATTTTCATAGACAAACTAATCTGTGGTTTGGCAGAAAATTATTTTCTGAATTTCCAACTTGCATATTAAAAAGTGCAGGTCAGATTTAATAAAGCCTTTCCAATTTCTTCAGCTTTGACATGGTAACAAAATATTAATGGTTGGAATTTTCCAGTTCCAAAATGTCAAAATTAATGTGATTAATATATCTAAAGGGAAAAGCATGTGGGGAAAATTTGTTTACAATACTTCTGGTAGTCGTACTTCTTTAATATTTCTATAGAGAGTGGTGATGTTAAAAGAAGTTTTTTTAACTGATCTGTTATAGTAGAAGTTAAAAACAGTGCCATGCCTAATATAAGCTTTCTGCAGACAAACCGTATCCTTTGCTTCAGAAATTGTTTGAAATTTAGGCTAGGCTCTGTAATATAAATTACCATCTTTTTCATTTAAGTGTGCAATATCTCAAATAACTTGAGATAACAGTCTATGAAAGATGAACAGCAAGTATTTTTGAAACATCCTCTGTACTACATGATTGTTTCATTTGTCTGCAGTATATAAGTTTTGGGGTTTTTTTTGTTGGGAGGGAGTGGGAGACTTCTGCTTAAAAGAGATGCAAATAGCTGAATCACATTCCCATCTTGGACCATACTTCATCTTTTGGTTTAAGGAAATTAAATTTTAGCATTATGCCTTCTTGCTGCAGGTCACTGTCTGCTCTCGCATAAATTCAGCATATTCAGATCCTAGCAATGTGAGAACACACAGTATGTACGCTTGCTATCAAACCAAGAAAGACCACCACACCAATAAAAAACCAGAACATCTGATTTATCACCAAGATTCCTGCAGTTTGGGCTACCCTCAGAAACTCTAAGTATAGTTTAGATAGCAGGTATCGTCATGTGTCACATCTGGGAATGAAGGACCAAGAAAACTTCATTTTGGAGGGATGTGGGAAAATTAATTCCTGAAAGAGAATGACAGAAACAGGCTGTGTTGGCTGGAAACCAGAAGAGGAGCCTTTACAGTAGAAATTGCTAGAAATATTTTCATACAGAACCCATGAGGCTGAAAAGCTTCTTTGCATAGACAGCTTGTTACTTTTCTGAAGAGGGGTTGTATGAGATGCCTCCCCAGAACAGCAGGGAACTGAATTTAGTAAACTAGAGGCTTGTTCCAGGTCTTACGGAAAGCAGGAGGTTCACATAAAATAGGGCATGTCAGCATTAGGAGAACATGCATAACAAAGAAACCTATCTAAAGGGATTAATCTGTGTCCTTAGATGTGTGAATGGGATCTGTGATCTTCTGTTCCTCTGAGACACAGGTCCTTCCTTTGTCTCTAGAGGGAGCCACACATCTGATGCAGCTAGCCCATGGTGAGTGGCAAACCGCCATGTAACACTTGTTGCGGCCCACTTTGGAGTGCCCTGCTGCAGTGGCACAGGATGCTCCAGGATTTTGACATAATTTTTGCCTTGAAGTTTATGTAGATTATTTTCATCCATAATTTACCAGCTGTGGCCAATGATTGGTCATCTGAGTAAGTAACTGGGTAGTAAACAGGGGTGTGAATTTAACGAGCCCCCGACAGTCCATGCCAACTGTCTCTCTGTGTGCTGCTGCCCTAAAGAAAGTGAGGGAATGGATCCCACTTCCAGTAAGAAGTGAGCTGCCTCACATTTCCTCACATTCACCAAACCACATTTGGGCAGGTACTGTGAAGTCTTTGATATATTTGAAATCCACACCTTGTCTTACCTCATGGAAGCTTGTTTGTTTTGATGTACTCCATAGGAGTCAACAATCCAGGGAAGATAATGTCATTGTTAATTGAGATTGTTATGGACTTTGACTGTATAATTTCATTGTAAATGAAGAAGAGTGTTGCTTTTTCAAGGCAGTGGCAATGGAATACTCTGTTGTTATTATGCCTGACATTTTAATTTATAATTTGATTGAATTTATTAATGACATTTAACTTTGTGTGCATAGGCATTTCAAATATTCCATGTACATTAGATCTGTATATTGCATGATATAACATTTATGCTAACAAACTATTCATTATTTCTTACTTCCAAGCTCATTATTATCTTCTGCTCATCTAATGACTGTTTATTTTGTGACAGAATAATTTGAAAAGAAGATGAAGTACCTCCTGTTCCTGTGTTTACTCCTTGCTCTTCTTTGTGCCGTAACCCGTTGCCACCATGTAGACTTCTGTCATAAAGTCAATAACACGAATCTCCATGATGGAATAGAAAATTTATTAACACATAACTGTGACAAGCAAGGCTCTAATTATGCAGATTTTGTATTTAGATTTTACAAGCAGGCTATATCCAAAGAAGCTGATAAAAATGTTTTCTTTTCTCCCATGAGCATCTCCGCTGCCTTTGCCATGCTGGCTGTTGGTGCTAAGTCAACCACCTTATCTGAGATTTTTGAAGGACTGGGCTTTGACAGTCTGTCTGAGGCTCGTATACGTGATATCCATGAAAGTTTTCATGATGTTTTAGCAGTACTGACCTGTACAGATGTTAACACCACATTCAATATAGGGAATGCCCTTTTTACAGCTATTGGGTATGAACCACAGGAGATGTTTTTACATAATACCAAAGAATTTTATGAAGCAGATTTTTTTGTTAGTGATTTCCATAAAACAGAAACTATAAAGCAAATCAATAAATATGTAGAGGAGAAAACCAAAGGAAAAATTCCAGAATTAATTAGTGGTCTTGATCCAAGTACTGTACTGGTTCTTGTTAACTACATTTATTTTAAAGGTAAGATATTTAACATAATATTCCAATAGATTATTTTGATGCAAAAAAAACCCTTACCTGTAGG